GAATGATTTATTTTGGCTCACAGTTGCAGAGGTTTCAGTCTGTGGTTGCTTGGCTCTGTTGTTTTGGGCCTATAGTGAGAAAGTACGTCATGGTTGAAGCACATGATGAAGGAGATCTGTTCACCTGATGGCAGCTGGGAAGCAAAGACAGAGAGGATGCTGGAGTCCCAATGCCCCCTTAATGTACCCCCAGTGACCTATCTGACTTTCAATAAACCATACCCCCTGAAGATTCCACTGCCTCCCAATAGTGCCACAGGCTGAGGATCAAGCCTTTAACATATTGGCCTTGAGGAGCATTCCAAATCCAACCTATAGCATTGCACCCCTAGCCCTCAAAGGCTCATGTGTTAGAAGCCTGGTTCTCAGCCTGTGGTACTACTGACTAGAGGCAGAACCTTTGGAAAATTGGGTCTAATAGAAGAAAGCTGATTTACTGGGGGTGTGTCCTTGAAAGAGATACTGGGACCCTGGCCCCCTCTTTTCTGCCTCTTAGCTACCACGAGGCAAACAGGTTTCCTGTGCCATATCATGCTGCACAATATATTCTGCAGGGTCCAGTGACCAGAGACTGAAACCTGTGAAACTATGACTCAGAATAAACCTTTCCTCCTTATAAATGGATTATCACAGGTGTATTGTCACAGTAACAGAAAGCTGACAGAGAAATTAAGAAAGCACTCTCATTTACAGTAGCATTAAAAAGAATAAAATACTGAAGATAAATTAACTAAGGAGGTTAAAAAAAAACTTGAAGTATACAGAAAACTCCAAAACATAGATAAAAGAAATAAGACAGAAATACATGTCATGTTCATGGATATTATAACAATACTGTTAAAATGGCAATTCAATCCAAAGTAATATACAGACTTAATCCATTCCTAATGGCATTTTTTATTCAAATAGAAACCAACCTTAAATTTCATACAGAACAGAGAATCCCGTATATCCAAAGCAATCTTGACAAGGAGAGCAAGAAGCATCATATGTCTTTTTTCCAAAATATATTATAAAGTTTCAGAAATTGAAAAAGAATGGTATTGGGATAAAAATAGAAATATCGACCAAAGAAACAGAATACCAGAAATAAATCCACAAATATGCAGACAACAGATGTTCCACAGGAGTGCCAGAATGTACAACAGGGAAAGGACTGTCCTTTCAACAAATAGTGTGGGGAAAACTGTATATTCACAACTGAAAGAACATAGTTGGACTCTGTTGGGAAATAAGGATCTCAAAAGACTTCACTCCCACATTTATTGTACCGTTATTCACAATAGCCAAAATGCATAAACAATATAAACATCCATTGGTGAATTAGTGGATATAAAATGCACACATACACACACACAATGGAATATCATTCAACCTTTAAAAAGGAAATCCTGCTCTCTGCAGAAACATAGATGAACCAGGGGAACCATATGCTAAGTGAATTAAGCCATTTTCAGAATGACAAATATTGCATGATTTCACTTAGATCGGGTATCTAAAGCAGTCAAACTCATAGAAGCAGAGAATAGAATGGTAGTTACTAGGGCCTGAGAGCAAAAAAAAATGGAGGGTTGCCATGTAACTCATGTAAAATTTCAGTTACTAACGATAAATAAGTTCTAGAGATCTGCTTTACAACATTGGGCCTAGTTAATGTTATTGCACACTCACAATTTTTTAAGAAAGTATACTCATGTTGAGTGTTCTTATCACCATAAAAGGTCTATTAAAAGCTGTTATATGATGATACTTCGTGATTTGCAACATGCATCCATTTCACACATAAATATTAAGTTCACACATAAAAATTACATCAAACATAAACAAAAAATTATACCAAACATAAACAAAATTATGTATGATTTGTACCTTTAGAAGAAGCACATTTTAAAACTGAATCAATGAAACAAATTGAATCTCTCTTCTCTATTAACCACACATTAGGACTTTCTTACCATGAAGAGTTATCTCTGGTTTGTGTTTCTTGGACAAATCAATGATATCCACTCCATTATAATAGAGATTTTCAAAACATCCAGTGGACGCTCTTATGTGGCAACAGCATTGATACTTCATGTCCAAGAATCCCTCCAAAGCTGATATTAAAAAGAAAAAAAAGATATAAATAATATTGTTTAATTATTTTCTGATTATCTGCCCCAAATATTAATGATTTATAGATACAATGATAATTGTCTTCAAATTTGCTTTGCATATTATATTGTCATATTAATGCCAAATGAAGTTTTAAGATGCAGATTTATAATTTTATTCATTATAGAGAGACTCAATCCCCTTATTACAATTTCTAGACATATGAGTCTTCTCCTAATTTTTAGATGAGAATATTGTATCATTATTTCCATGGTGATCTGTATAATAGCTTATCCAGTGTATCATCGCTAAAGAAAAGGAGAATAGTAAAACTCCATGTCCCTGAATGCCCCCTTTCTTTTTATTTATTTATTTATTTATTTATTTTTGTAGCTGTAGATGGACAGCATGCCTTTATTTTATTTATTTTTGTTTGTGGAGCTAAAGATCAAACCCAGTGCCTCACACATGCTAGACAAGTGCACTGCCACTGAGCCACAGCCCCAGCCTGAATGCCCCCTTTCTGTTCTCAAAAACCTTGCCAAATTAAGGAAACACTGAGAGCAAGCCTGGACCGGAAAGTCCACATATGCATTATCTTAAAGGACCTGGGCTTCCTCTTACGCACAATGGAAACCAGAGCTAGTTGGTGCTACCTGTAGAAAGCTACTTTCTTACATGTACATCAGGGCAATTGCTCCTTAGGATGCTGGTCAGAGAAGCTAACTAATTAGCTAATGCTGATGATGTCACTGCTTCTGCAGTCTAAGGCTGAGGGCACCATGGAAAGGATATGTGACAACAGTCCAGCTGGCCACTACTGGACAAAGTGGTGAATATAACAAAGTGGTGAACAAAAGTTAAGAATATAACTAGTCAAATTCAAATGAAGTTCTCTAGCTTACTGAATGGCAATATAGTAATGAAACCCTGATAATGAAGAATCAAACGATTTCCCATTCTAGCAGTACATATTCCTAAGTATGTCACTGATGGCATTAAGAACAACTAAGGCTTGCCTTGCAGTTAGCCAACAAGGGCATGTTTGTTCTGTACATGATTTTGCCAAGATTATTTTGGTCAAAAGGATTTTACCCTCATCCTCTCTGTTGCCACTATGGTTCTGCAACAGTTAAATGATTAAAGCACCAGAATCTTCTGGAGCATTTGCTGCACACAGATTGCTGAGATGGGGCCCTGAATTTCCCACGGAGCAGGTCTGAGGTAGAAGCTGAGAATTTGCATTTCTACAAATTCCCTCCTGGTGCCCCTGAGCTTGAGCTTGGTGGCCACACTTTGACAGCCGCAGCTTTAAACCACCAAAATTACATTTCTTGGAAGATTCTCCTCAGGCAAAATGGAGTAGTGAAAATTTTACTGGTAACTGAGACACAAAATAATGGTTTTAAGACTCTTTTGTCCTAATGCTTTGAGTTATTTCCTAATGTGACGTCTGACACCATCTAGAACAATTAACCATGTGCTAATCACTTACAGATCTGAGAAGGCAAATCTAAAATGAATGTGGACATTTCTAAGCTTACTGGGCGACCAAAGTAGCATATGGACGCCTGGCAAAGTGGGTGTGACAAAAGTCACAGCGATCCCTGCAGCAGCCCCAGGAGTTTAAAATCTTAAAGGACGAGAAACCTAACCTCAATTTCAGGGATTTAAAACCATACACAAGGCACAGGCGCTCGCAGCCGCTCCCGCGCGTCCCCGCCAGCCCCGCGCCCCCCCACCAGGCCCC